GTGCCCTGCCCTGCCCTGCCCTGCCCTGCCGCCGCACGGGAGCCGCCGGGGGAGCGGGCAGTGGAGAGCGGAGCAGCGCCAAGCACCAGCCCTGGCTTCACTCCGGGCAGCACAGCCGGGCCGGTCTGCTGGTTCCCGTCGCGGAGCCGCTGCCTGCCCTGCGGAGGGAGCATTGCACCTCGGCTCCCTGCCCTCCGTGCCGGCCCCTCCTGTGAGAGCGAGCAGGTCTTGGCAGAGCTGCCGGTGCTGGTGTCTCGGGGAAAGCTCCCCTCAAGGGGAGGGCGAGGAACAGCAGCGGTATTGTTGGGTTGGAGTGCTTATCTGGGCTGGGGGAGCCTGGGTCAGGACTGGATCAGGCAGTGAGGACTTGTTGGCCTGGCTCTCCCTCAACTCCAGCAAGTGCCTCACCCCCCTCAGGGCTGTTCTGGGCTGATTGCCTTGCTCTTGCCAACAAAAGCACTTTGACCAATTTCAGTTCCATCCTGGCACAGAATCAAAGCAGGAACGGGCACCACCTTTTTTTCCCAAACCAACCTCTGGTTTCTGCCAGCCCATCCTGACGCTGCCTCCCCACCCTGCCTCAGTAATTCCTGACTGCTGCCCAGGAAAACGCAGCCTCAAAGGGTGGTGGGCTGAAGTGTGCAGAGCAGCACCGAGCAGGGCTCTATTTTAGATGCAGCAGGCTAGAAGTGTGAGCCTTGGAGCTGCCTGGCTGCCAGCAGCTGTGCAGAGCAGCCCAGGAGACCTTCAGCTAAAGTCAGGAATAACCAGAGAAATGGCAGTCTAGTTACCCCCTGCTCTGAGCCATGGAGTCCCAGGCTGCTTGGGGAAGGGACCAGCTCTCTGCTGTGCTGTACTGACACCCCTGCAGGCAGCCCAATGCTGATGAGTGATGGGATGTGTGGTTCTCTAGGCTCTTTTTGAAGGCACTGCTGCTGTTCCAGTATCCAGCTGTCCATGTATCTGGCTTGCCCTGGGCTGACCACCCTGGGCCGTATTGTGTTGCATTGTTTGTGCGGCAGAGCGATCACTCTAGCCATGCACTACCTTAATGAAGGTAAATATGAACCCTTTCTTGCTAGCACCTGTATGCCTGCTGTAACAGGATAACAGGTCCCTGGAGGCTTTCTCACTACCTTTGTTTTCCAAATACACAGGCAGACTGCGAATCCCCTGTGGACAGAACAGGGGACACCGTTGTAACCAAATCTGGCTGCCTGTGGATTTTGTTTTGTGCTCAGGAGCTGCAGGAGGCAAGTCCTCAGCCTTTGTCTCAGTGGTGTCTGTCCTACACATGGGGGGTAGGCATTGCTCAGTGGATAGAGCAGGATGACCGGGGAACTGGCATTTCTCACTCCTGTCCATGGCCTTCCCTGCAGGGTCCTGGGAAGTTCTGTGCCCTTACTGCCTCAGTTTCCCCATGTCCAAATGCAGAGCCATAAAATTAGCATTGGTTGGAAGCTGACAGCCTGAATGGAAGGTGCCCGTTGCTGTGTCAGATTCCCCCCGGGGAAAGAGCCACAGACCCAGTGGTCACTGGCCCAACCACTCCTGAAAGCCTTGCATAACCAAATGAGAGAAATATTTCTCCCTGGGGAAAAGTCTGTGCTTCACTTCAGGCTCCAATACGTTTCCAGAAGAGACTGTTGGTTCCTTGCATCCCATGCCCTCTGTCCTTCCCCTCCCTGAGCTGTCCTTCCCTGGGGCAGGTCTCCTGAGCTCTGCTAAGGGGCCTGAATCTGTATGGTGCAAGGTACAATGAAGTTCAGTCCTGTAGCTGATCTGCCTCTCCTCTGCCTCCCAGAGGGTAGAGGGACTGTGCTGGAGGAGAATGCCCATTCTCGCCTCGCCCGAGATTGCCACCAGGTTCAAGGAGAAGTGGCTGCAACTACACCCTGAGGACCAGGACAATGTCAGTGGGGCTGTGACACTAGATGACAGCCTCACCAGCCTGCAGTGGCTCCAGAACTTCTCCATCCTCAGCACCGGCCCTGAGACACTGCCAGCCCTGGGCCACCATCTCCACCAGCCTTGTGGGAAGTCTTTCCAAAATGCTGAAGCCCCTGCCAGCCCCCCAGCAGGAGACACTGCAGCCAAGGGGATGCCCCCAAGCCTGGGCCAACCCACCTCTGCAGCCACCTCCCCTGGCACTGGCCAGCTGCTACCCCTCACCAGACTTCCCCTTGGTGCCCTAGAGATCGATTACAAGAACAACTCCACAGTGAAGCCTCCTTACTCCTATGCCACCCTCATCTGCATGGCCATGCAGGCCAGCAAGCAGGCCAAGATCACCCTGTCTGCCATCTACAATTGGATCATGGAGAACTTCTGCTACTACAAACATGCTGACCCCAGCTGGCAGGTGAGTTGGCAGCTTGAATAATTAATGCTCCTGGTGAGGCAATGCATAATGGGGGCTGCTGTCTGTCAGCAAAAGGACGTACTCATCAGGCTGATAAATGAGCTGCTGCATTTAATTCCCTTTGCCTTCAGTTATATCCCATAACACCTCTGTCCTGCATTATGAGGGGGTGGGGGATGGCAGGGAGGAAGCCTGTCGATCTGTTTTGCTTCTTGGAAGACATAAGCACTCTATTTAGATGCTTTGCTGGTTCTATAATGGCTTTCTGCAGGAGTGGTGAAAGCCTGAAATGTGCCTCCAAAATCTTCTTTTCTGTAGAAATCTACATGGTCTTTGTCATTCTGAGTGAAATACAGGGAGCTCTGTGGTGGGTCATGCTGGCTTTCTGAGCACATACAGCAAACCTACAGAGCAGTTTCCTGCTTATTCCCTACCTGGAGTCTTGCTGGCTGAACAGACTGGCTCCATGGTGATTCACTGCAGCATACTGAGGGGGTTTTAGGGGCCCCAATTTCTGTTCTTAGCTCTCTCCTACGAACACACTGGGATCCTGCAAACCAGAGGAGGAGCAGATTCCCCACCTCATGTGGCTTGTCTAGACTCAAGGCGAGATGGATCCCTTGCAGTAGGGCCAGCAGGAGGAGTCTGATTTGGTGGTGGTTCCCACAAGGCATTAGCTGGTACCTGAAGGTGCTATACATGAGTCAGGTTGGAGGATGTAACACTCCCCAGCAAACTCACTGAACTCCTACTCTACAGGCACTCCCTGCATCCCTAGGATTCCAAAATTGTCTGGAAGGTGACAGAAGACCATGAAATTGGCTTTAAAATCATGAGAAAGAGAACATAAGGAGGGCTGGGTTCTGGTCTCCCTCCTGGTGTCAGAGCCGTTAACGCCTGGTGTCAGTTCCTTTCCCATGAGGGCCATACATTTTAAATGAAAGCTGAGATTCTCATGTAGGTACGTGACTCCCAGAGCCCCCTGGTACAGTGGGCATTGGCAGAGCTGCACTCAGCACATCACCAACATGGCTCCATCTCCTAGGCAGTAAGGGGGCAGCACTACGGACACCTGGAACTGACATAAACCAAAGCCCAAACCATCAGCCTGTGGGGCCCTTTGCTCCTTTCCCTTATGTAAGCTGCCTGGCTAGTAGGGCTGTGCAAAATGGCAGCGCTCAGTTTTGAATTTTGTTTTGATTCGAAACAGCTGTTCTGCTCCGTTCCATCAAAACGGCGAAACTTTTGATGTTTCACCCATAGGATAGAATGGGGAAGGTCAAACCAGCCTATAACTTTGTCATTTCTGGCCTGATTTGGATGAAACTTGCAGGAATGGTAACCCCTTCTGAGGGCATGAAGCCTGCCGAGTTTCACGGAGATAGGTGCAGGGGGTTCAGAGAAACTGCACCCAAATTCTTGAAAGCAAAACTCATGTCACATGTATGTGTTAAGCCAGAGCGGGGTCAAAACTGCAGGCATGCTAGCCCCTGCTGAGGCCACGAAGCCTGCCAGCTTTCAAGGAGATAGGTGCAGGGGTTCTGGGGCCCTGCACCTCTGGCTGCTGACAGGCAAAACTCATGTCATGGGTGCTTGTGGAACTCTGTCTGTCTTGGGGCACGGGGTGGGGGGAAAGTACCGCAGGCCTGGCTTCTAGGCCCTGCTGCAGCCACAAAGCCTGCCAGCTGTCAAGGAGATCGGTGCAGGGGGTTTCTGAGGCCCTGTGCCCCTAGCTGATCACAGGCAAAACTCGTGACATGGGTGCTTGTGCAACTGCTGCCTCGCAGCAGGACTGAAGATCCCCCATCACTTGCCACCACAGACCTGGGGGTAATAATTGACCACAGTATGAACATGAGCCGGCGGTGCGATGCTATAGCCAGCAGGGCCAACAATATGTTGGCATGCATCAATTGATGCATCTCCAGCAAAACCATTGCGAAGAAGTGATTTTCCTGCTCTGCTCGGCTCTTCTCAGCACTGGTGAGATCGCAGCTGGAGTACTGGTCCAGTTCTGGGCTCCGCACCATAACAAGGATGTGGTGAAGCTTGAGAGAGTCCAAAGAAGGGCTACCCATATGATCAGAGACTTGCATGGCAAGCCATATGAGGAAAGGGTGAGGGAGCTGGGATTCTTCATCCTGAAGAAGAGAAGGTTGAGAAGGGACTTGGTAGCAGCTTACCGCTACATTAGAAGTGTACATCTAGGGCTCGGTAAACCAGGGCACCCTTGGGGGACTAGGAGTAATGGTCACAAACTCCTGGAAGATGGTTTTAGGCTTGTTTCAGGCTCAACATTAGGAAAAAACTACTTCACAACTAGGGTGTCCAGACTGAGAAATAAACTCCCTCCAGAGGTGGTGCAATCAGCTACCCTGGAAATCTTCAAGAGGGGATTAGACAGTCACCTTGCTGGGGTCACTTGACCCCCAGCTGTCTTTTCTGCTTGGTGCAGCAGGCTGGACCCGATGATCTTCCAGGGTTCCTTCCAGCCTTACAATATAGGAATCTATGAGTGGTTGGAGCCTAAGTCTTAGGAGATATGGCTTTGGAGCGATTCTTCCAGGCCCCAGAACCCCCCTGCACCTATCTCCTTGACAGCTGGCAGGCTTTGTGGCCACAGCAGGGCCTAGCA